TACTGCACCCCCTTAAGAAAATCCACCAAGATTACCTCTTGGGAATATATTAAAAAAAAAAAGTCACTCTATCTTCTAAGCTGACTTCTCTAACTTGAATTTAAATAGTTGAGCACATACCCCAAGGAGCCACTGTTTTGACTGGGCCTTGCTTGAGGACTAAGGTACATGGCAATGGCAGTGAGGTTGGCCCAGGATCGGGCAGTGTTTCATTCTGCTGTGCATAAGGTCGCTATGAGTTGGTACCGACTCAATGGCACCTAAAAACAACAACAACAACAACAACAACACTAAGACAAGTGCATTACAGAGAGAACTTTTCTGCGCCATCGTCCACTGATTGCAGAGCCATTTTTAAACATGTTTTGCTTGCAATAAACTTATGTATGCAAGAACTGGAACTTAGTAGCAATGATTTTTTTTACTTGCTCTCATATTTCAGCAGCAAGTTTATCTGGAAACAAAAAAGTAGTTGAAAACATTTTCTGACGAATGAAAAGTTTCAAAATTGTTATAAGTGAGTATCTAATTTATTCCTAAATGAATAAAAAATAAAATGCTTGGCCAGAACTTTATGAATTCATGGAGAGAGACCAACAGTCTCCTCTGATGTCAGCTCCTAGTAGAAAAGAACGCTCTTAACCACTCTCTTGGGTCCATGTGGAAAAATCCTTCCTGCGACCAACATTCCTGGCATCTCTCATTCCCAAGACAGAAGAGCGGCTTACATAGTCTATGAGTTTGTCATAAGAAATTGGCCACATGTTGCTCTGACTTTTGCTTCTCCTTCCCTCTGGAATTTGCCTACTTAAAAACATGGGCTCAGCCCACCCACAAACTTATAAAGTAAACTACCATGGCAGAGGCAGAAGAGTGGCCAGTGTTATATACAACTGGTAGAGGGTAAGTCTAATTTAAGGATATGGACCTGTAATCGACTTTGACAATATGCTTCAATCCATAGTCATCTGGACACTGTATACTGCCCCATTAGAGCTGAGGACAACTGCCTCATAGGGTTTCCAAAGCTGTAATTTTTATGGAAGAAAACTGACACATCTTTCTACTTCAATATGGCTGGCAGGTTTGAACCATCAATGTCAGTTAGCAGTCAAGTGCTTAACCACTGTGCCATGACAGTTCTTTAAAATCCTTGATAACTGCTCTTTATTAAGCAAGTATTACATGCCAGGCACTATCCAAGCACTTTACAAAAACCATTTCATGTAATTCTCATGTTGTTGTTGTTGTCAGGTGCCATCGAGTCAGAAGTGACTCATCGTGACCCATGCACAGCAGAACGAAACAATGTCCGATCCTGGGCCAATCTCACTACTGCTACCATACTTGACGCCATCAACGATGCCACCTGGGGGTCTTCCTCTCTTTCTCTGACCCTCCACCTTCCCCAGCATGACATCCTTCTCTAGCGACTGTTCCCTCCTGACAATATGTCCAAAGTATGAGTGACCAAGTTTAGCCATCTTGGCCTCCAAGGAGCACTCTGGATGCACTTCTTCCAAAACAGATCTATTGGTTCTTTTGGCAGTCCGTGGCACTTGTTAGTATTCTCCTCCAACACCACAATTGAAAGGCACCAAATCTTCTACGATCTTCCTTCTTCACTGTCCAGCTTTCGCATCCATATGAGGTTATTGAACATACCATGGCTTGGGTCAGGTGCACCTTAGTCCTCAAGCTGACATCCTTGCTCTTCAACACTTTAAAAAGTTCCTGTGCAGCAGATTTGCCCAATGCAATGCGTCGTCTGATCTCTTGACTGCTGCTTCCGTGAGTGTTGATAGTTGATCCAAGAAGAATGAAGTCCTTGACAACTTCAATCTTTTCTCCATTGATAAGAATGTTTTTTATTGGTCCAGTGGTGAGGATTTTTGTTTTCTTGACATTGAGATGCAATCCATACAGAAGGCTGTGTTCTTTGATCTTCATCAGTAAATGTTTCAAGTCCTCTTCACTATCAGCAAGCAACGTTGTATCATCTGCATATCTCAGGTTGTTAATGAGTCTTCCTCCAATCCTGACACCACGCTTTTCTTCATAAACATCCCAAAAAGGTCCCTAACTCACACAGCTCAAAAGAAGGTTGCAAACATAAACTTAAATCTCTTTAGAAAACCTGATTTCTCTGGGAAAAGTTTGGAATTTTGGTAAAAAACTTAATTATCACCAGAACCATTAGCTATGCCAAATCAACTAATTACTACTTCGTCCTCTTCTTTCTCAATGTGTCTGTAGATCCCAATAAGTTGACCACACCCTCCTTCTTGGAATGCATTCCCTTTTTGGCTTCCAAAACATTGTTTATGCTAGCTTCCTCTCATATTTCTGGCTCCTACTCCTCTTCATTCTCCTTTGTAATATGCTTAATTCCTATGGTGGTTTGAAGCTCCAATTCTAATATATCTTTTCTATCTTCATTCTCATTCTAAGTGGTCTCATCCTTTTTCAATGCTCAAAATGGTATTTTTACATAGACAATTTCTCAAAATGTAATTTTTTTATGTGAAGTAGGTTTATTTACTTGACTATTTGATATCTGCATGCTAAAAGTCAACTCATACATGGCCAAAACAGATATCTCATTTTCCTATACCTATTTCTAAACAGGAGTCCTGGTGTGGCACTATAGGATAAGTACTGGACTACTAACTGCCAGTTTGGCAGTTCAAACCTACCAGCAGCTGCTTGGAAACCCTATACAGCATCACTATGATTCAGAAGTGACTCAGTGGCACTTAACAACAACAGTTTCATCTCCAATCTTTTTAAACACAGTTGTTGTTATTGTTGTTAAGTGCCTTCAAGTCAGTTTCAACTCATAATGACCCTGTATAGGGTTTTCCCAAGGAGTGGCTGGGCGCTTGAACAGGAAACCTTGTGGTTCAAACCAACCTTGCAGTCCGGTGTATTAACCTGCAGCACAACTTCAGGACTCCTTTAAATACAGTAGGTGGTACCATTATTCAGTTGCTCAGTTGCTCAGGGCAAGACTTTTTAATTCCTCTTGTTTCTCATCTCTACCATTCCACACCTAATCTACCAGCCAATTAGTTTGTGTTCTGTTCTAATCTACAGCCAGTGGTTTAATTATTACTTACCTACCTGCTAACAACTCTATCCACATCAACATTAACTCTCCTTGACTTTAAAAATTAAAAACAAAAAAACCTCCTAACTGGCCTACCTGCCCTATGATAATCCATCCTTAACAATCCAGTGAATGAGTTTCCATCACCAGGACACATATCCCTTTGTCTTGGAATGACCAAGTTCTTTTGAGCTTGAAGATTCTGTATTGGCTACCCCTCTAAACAGAAAACACTGTCAAGTAATCTCGATGTGACGGGTTCTTTCTTTCATCCTGGTACTGGTGGTGATGTGCCGTGGAGTCGGTTCCAACTCATAGCGACCTGTACAGGGTTTCTGAGGCTGTAAACCTTTATGGGAGCAGAAAGCCTCATCTTTCTCCTGCAGAACAGCTGGTAGTTTTGAACTGCTGACCTTGAGGTTCATAGCCCGATTCATAATCACTATGCTACCAGAGCTCCTTTCATCCTTTGTTGTTGTTAAGTGCCGATGAGTTGGTTCTGACCCATAGTGACCCTGTATAGGGTTTCCAAGGAGCAGCTGGTGAGCTTGAACCACCAACCTTGCAGTTCAAATGGCTTTGCAGTCAGTGCATTAACCCACAGTGCCACACCAGGACTCCTTTCAAACTAGCCATCACTGAAATGTTACCTTGGCAGAAAGGCCTTTGTGGTACCTTGAATTTACTTAAAATGGTTTATCTATCTAACGTCTTCTTAATTCCAACCAAGTGATTGGGCGGGATCATGTAAATAAGGTATATAGGACTCTGCTGAGATGGGCTAGTTTTGCCATCCCCACTAAGTTTAAAATGTGCCACCTCAGAAGCAGATACAGAAGATTTCAGGACCATCAAGAAGGAAGAGCATGAATGGAGGAGTGTGAGATCTGTACCTAGAAAAGCAATGACGGCAAAGGCGGTGGCATGGAGAAAACAAAGCAGCTGTGTGCTCTAGGCTCATGGACTGAGGGAAGGGGAGTGCCTTAGATCAGGAGGCTAGCTTGCAGAATGTACCCTTTAGGCATCCTCAGACTTGCTCAAAGAGCTTTCTTTCTAACAACTGTCCCAACAGGGCAAAGGACAAGGGGCCAAACAGTTGAGAAGTTGAAGACAAGTGTGAGGTGTGTCTGTAGTACAGCAGAGAAGAGATGTTTCTGATTAAAACACTACTGTATTCCAAGTTGGTTTTGATCCTGAATTGTAACCTGTTGACTTCCCTAATAGACCCTGTAATTGTGAGTACTGTTATGAACTCCGTATGGCCATTTAATTGGATTGGTAAACCCAGACGTGAAGTAGAGCACTGTGAGAAGAATGGTTAGTGTCAGAATAGGGTAAAGAAGGTTGAAGGCATGTCTGACCTCCGCGTCACAGGAATTCGCATTAGGCTGATCTTGAGTTTGATTCTCTTTCGTCCTTGTGAAGTCAAAGGAAATCAAACATGGTCTCCACATGGGTTTTTGCAGCCTTCCTTACGACCACTTCACCATAACTATTGATGACTTTTTATCACATCACAAACTATAAGGAATTCCTTTATTTGTTTTGGTCCTTTACCTTCTTTTCATGCTTCCATGACAACAGCTAGTAGTTTATTGTATAAAACACAGGCTTTATAAAAGGAAAAATTAGGAAGTTGAGTAAATCCACTGACTGTATTACTGTACACTCATTTAATTCTTCATAACTATGCTGTTGTTGCTGTTCATCACCACCAACTCAGTTCTGACTCACAGTGACCCTAATTAGAGTTTCCAAGCAGTTGGCTTTAACTGCCAACCATGTGTTTGCCAGTAATGTGCTTATCCTAAGTGCCACAACAGCTAGATATCAAACTCCAAGCAAATGTGCTGAAAATGATGTAACAGTGCGATCAGAACAAACTACTTACGGAGTCCCACTGAATCTGGCTTGCCATTATCATTCTTACTTGGCTGAACAAGTGGAGCAAATGAAACGGCAAGAATGTTTTTACTTTCCCAGGTGTTTTGTCCGGTTCGCATAATTTGTGTTAACTGTTTAAAAAGAAAAACAAATAAAACAGTTTAATTTTGAAAATGTGATGATCTTTTAGTCCAATTATTTTAATGTAATAATTGCCAGAGAGCTATGTAATTACTTTACTTATATTTAAAGGCAATGAAATTATTTCCATTTAGATATTTACTGTAAAAGAATACACATGGAATTAAATATATTTTATGTTCAAGATAGATATTCCAATGCAACTGAGATGTCCACATACAGACTGAATGACTCTGTATGTTAGATTTGAGATAGAAAAGTTTTTTTGTGGCTCTCAAAAGACATGTCTAAAATAGGTTCAGTTATTTGGATAAAGCATTATATTAATAAAACCATGTTTTCATTACTGTACCAATGAGCCAGCTTGAAGCTTTGACATAATAGTAATGAAATCCAGATTTCTAATTCTTACCCCAACTTGGTATTTCACACAAAAATGTTATTACTCACAAAG